TAACAGGTAGTGCTGATATAACTTGAGTTGACTGATTGCCATGTATTAGCCAATATGACTCTAAATGTTGGCCTAGATACCTTTTGGACAGTTGAAAAAGAGTCAGTGGAGAATCTTGGGCACAATTTTTGGTGGTTACTTAAGTAAGCTGAACCAGAACTATAAACTTTCATGCTACATTGTTATTCTTCAGCTGAGAGAATATCATTCTTGTATTTGCTTTAGCTTCTATTAACTACTGCAGAAATTTTGATGTAAAAGAAGTTGCTTCAGAAGAGTAGCAGGGATAATATCCATTGGGGTGGGGGAAGTGTTTGATTTTGGTTTTTGGGTGTTTTTTTGTTTGTTTTAAAGAGAGTTAGAAGCTTGTTCCACTTCAGTGAGGTTATCATTGTTTATTTAAGGGTATGTTTTCTTAGTGTAAACCTCCATGGTGAAATCAAAGGTAGCCATGCTTGCTAGGTCTTTAGAACACAAATCCACAAAATCAACTTCTGGTTACAAATGCCAGCCTGAAAAAGTCTTCACACTTTCCGCAGCACGTGCTTGTCAACATACACATTCTGTACAACATGATAAGACACTTAACATTCACACAACCAAAATGGGTTAAAAATATGTTTTGAAAATTTTAAGACAGTGCAGACTAAACAATCTGTAATTTAAGGCATGTTAGAAACAGAGGGAAAATCATTGTGCTCATTTATTTGGTTCTTAAGTGAAATAAAAATCTTACATAGCTTTCTAATTGACAGCCAGAAACAGATCTTTGGAAATAATAACAATACAAAAAAATCCTAGTGTAGGCATATGAGAAAAGCACTTATCTGCAGGATGGGACCAATCTGTTTGTTTATTAAAATAACAAATGCAGTAGATTTCCCTACTCTGTCTGTAACAGCAGTCACCTGCTTACTTTATGATACCCTTAAAACCTTTATCAGGGTTTTACTCTGCTTTGTAAGAATCTGGTCTTTATGTCATTATCAGTGTTGAGATGCTTCCTATTGCATGGGATGTGTATTGTGGACTTACAGTAGAGGACAAAACTGTCATGCAGCCAGAAATCTGCTTTAACTAGCTATATAGTAGCTATATAGTTATATAGCATAGTATAGCAGAGCAGGGATCATCTTGCTGTGATCCTGCAACATGCTCCTCTTTCCATGAATATGTTAAGTATTCTCAAGTTGGCTCATAGGTGTTCCATAGAGCACTTAGGAAACTAGCTCATTTATTTCCTGAAAGGTTGGCAATTCCTGTTCTTAGAATAAGTTCTTAAATATACTAGAAACCTTGCAGTTCTGCAGTATCTATTTAGCTAACCTAAAGAAATTCCTGTTAAGTCCTATCAGCACTGCGAAATGAAAAGAACAAGGCTAGAAGAGAATTGAAATAGCAGAAGTCAGGATTGCTTTCTGTTAACCACTGGCTTCTGCTCTATCCCTTAAAATTCAATTTCTGTGCTTGTTAAGCATGCAGGTGGGATTTGTTGTTGCCAAGCCGCTGTTCAGATTCTTAGCAATCACATACATATTGTTAGAACTGGCCTGTTTCCACATGCATTTGGTACATAAACTGTTTTTGTATTGAACTGTGAGGATGGTAGCTGATGCTTCCCAGCTGCTGGGATACACAAGGTATTTCACAACAGTTTCCTGAAGAATGTTCTGTCCTGCCTCCTACATTCCCCATATTAATCTCTGCAGATCAACTTCCTCTCCTCTCCCTCAAAAAAACTGCAGTAAGGTAATGTTGCCTAACATGTTATTTTCCTGCTTATTTCCTGACCCATCTACTCCACCCCAAGCATGATGTCAGTGGTGGAGTAGGTTATGTCAGCTTCCCCATAGCAGAAAGGAACACAAAGTAGGAGAAACCGAGCTGAGCAGTTTTCAGAAAGTGAAAGGAATACATTACAAGTTGGGTACTTCTAACAAGTGGGATTGGTAGGTGTCTATCAGCTGCTTAGATTTTTTATCACTTGGTACTGAATCAGGAACATCAAACCAAGTTTAAGAGAAAATACGCAAGACGGGGCAAAAGTAGATTGATCAAGGAAGTCAATTTCATTTAAAAAGGTTCAGCAGAAAGTGACTGAACCCCAGAAAAACAAGGCTGGCACCTGATGAAAAAGAAAGCAGTCCACTTTCTTTGGTGGATGCAATGCAGTACATTTACTACAGACTGTAAAGCATACACAAGGGCTGTTATTTCAGTGAAGCCGATGAGCTTAAGAACCACATATTAATATTTCTTTGTTTCTTTACATACACCCTTGGGTGCATCTGGCTATATGGCATTGGTCAAGAATAAAAGGTGCAGAGCTTGACCATTACTTGTTTGTTTTGCCCTGCCTTGAGAGGTGACATACGGACAGCTACTCTCTTATGTCCAAGCTTGTAGCTCCTGTGCTTAGGGAGTTTTCAGAAGGCCAAAATGCCTTCACAACTGTTTTGGGCCATATAACAATAATAAGGCACCTGGTAACATTCTTTTTTTCTATAGGACCCTTCTTTTCTATGCCACTAGAAGGATGATGTTTCTTTTTCTATCCCATTCACAGTCAGTGAGATGGAGTGTTGTATGGTTTTTCCCTTTTGCCCCTTACCTTTGATGTCTGCCATGGGTGAGGGATGGATTTCAGAGGTCATGTGTTAAGTAAGACAGCCTGAAAGCCTGTGAGGTAACACTGATTTTTTTAAAAAATCAAAGCAAAAACTGAATGTTTTGGAGGGCACACAGAGGCATCATCAATATTAAGTTACATAATTCAGGAAAATTTTGAGAAACTGTGCTCCAAGTTGTGATTCAGTCAGGAAACAGAAGCTACAGCAATTAACAGAGATCATTTTAATCATTTCAACAATTGCTCGCTATACATACAATACCAAAAAATACAGAGTGAGTGGGTCATCAGAGATATTGACTTTACTGGTTAAGGGAACATGAAAATTCAGTCTGACATCTACTCATACTTCTGAAAAGCAATTTGGCTACAATAGATTCACCTAATGTAGGTAAAATTTAATGAAGGATCATTGATCACTCACAGAGAATTTGATGCAAAAGGAGACCACTGAGTTATGAAGCTTCTCTCGTTAGTTTTGTTAGAATGGTATTTCACTTCACCAGGGGATAAGAAAGTTTGACTGCTGTTTCCATTGAATATTACTGAGTAACTGGGGTCTTAGGGACTTTTTTGCTTTTGTCCTTTAGACACTTAAAATAGCCTGCAAAATGTTAGAAATAACTTGATTACATTTCTTCTAAAAGTTGAGAAGATCTACCTGAAGCATAAGTTTAGCCAAGGCCACAAAGTCATGTGAGTTTTAAATATACATAATATCCTACTGTGCCAAAGCATCTCAAGGCTTTTTATAGAAGATCTACAATGCCACTGTTAACTGAATTGAAACAAGCAAGTCTTTGGTTTGAGAGGCAACAGCCAAAACATTCTAGCAATGAAACCAAATAGCAGAGATAGAATGTTTGGAAATGGAAGAATGAAACAAGGTCAATAAAGAGTACCTAAGGCACCTTGTTTATATTCATCTTTGCTACACTCCTTAAGACCTCCAAATAATATATAAACTGCAAATGCTAAGGAATGTGAAGATGAAACAGCAGAGGACAAAAATAAATTACTCTTATTCCTAGTTAAAATTCCCATTATTGAAGGACGTAAATAAATCTATTTCTCACTGTGATAATGGAGTAAAGAAAAGAATCAGACCTAGGAAAATGAGAAACCAGTACCATTAAGAGTAAGTTCATTTGATTCTCATGAATTGCCAGTCAAAATGAAGTAGAAAAAAAGGCTGGACACTGAGATGTGGGTATTTTCTTTAATGTCTAGTGCATTTCTCAGTCTCAAGTACTATAGAAGGGGAATATCCCCCTTAATTTAAAAAACGAAGAATAGGACAGTGCAGCCTGTACTAGATTAAGGACTGTACAGCAGGATGTGCAAAATTGTCCCTGCAATATACAATGGAGAGTTTTGAAGAGAGGTGGGAATTCAGTTTATTCTACAATATTTTTAATCACCAACTTAGTTGGGACCTTCATCAAATGCAACATGCAGTTGACATTAAAATATGCTACATCTGAGTACAGAATGGTTAAAGTTTTGTTTTGGCCCATCCTCCCTGAAAATCAATACCAATTTGACAGTGGTGGTGGGAAGGATTCCATTACTTCTTTGCCTCAATACTAGATGCTTTGTGTGAGTCAGCTGTATTGAGTCAGTTCCCCGTTCTTATGCTAGGAAATAGAGCCTATAATGAAAGCTGTCTTGGAGTCTTCAACATACTGGCTTATTATATTTTTCCTGAACTGGGTGCAAGATGTTCAGTCAGTTTCCAGACTTAAGTTTGCTTCCTTCTTCTAGCCAGAAGGGAATTCATCCCTCTACCTACTTTTCAAGCCTAAAAAAACCCAACCCTCTATTCATCTCAGTTTCTGGCCTTACTGTATTATTAGGTTATTTAGACACACCTCTGAAAGTTTCAGAATACCATGAAAGATTGGAAGGAAAAATGGAAAAAGGCAGACTTAGAATAGAATAGTTTCAGTTGGAAGGGACAAAGATCTTCAAGTCTAACTGTCACAAAAAATAAAATCTGTAGGTTTCAAGGTGTGTGCAGCAGGACAGTAAGTTAGCTGAACACATCGGAGGATATAAATGCTAGTAAGTTTTTCATGTTGTTTTGGGAACATCAAACTAAGATCTGCAACAGCCAGAAGCCTGGTTACATTTTAATACATATTAATATAAAAAATAACAAAACTGTACCATGGCATTTAGTGTTCATGAAGTTGCACGTATGATTGTTATACTTGTGGCATTTTTAGGAAAGCACATCAAGCTTTAAAATAGAATAAGACTCCACTGTCTTTCAGTACCTAGATTACACTGAGAATTTGTGCTCACAAAGTACAAAAAAACACAAACAATTTTTCTCATTGTCTGCTTTTCCCTTGTGTTCTCCCCTCAGGTATGGCCCATTTCATGTTCCCTCGGAGCTACCTTTGGCTATATGGCTGGTCTGATTATTGCACCTCTGTGGATACACTGGAACCGGAAGCAGCTTACATACAAAAGCAGATAACTGGCGCAAAGAGAGACAAGGTATTTCTTTGTGCAGATTCCATACAGACTGTGCAAAAGTTTCTTTTTTGTTGTTGTTGGTTTTTGTTTTTTTTTCCCCCCTCTAGATATATATGTATATGTGTAGTCAAAGCAGACGACTATCCAAATTCATTTAGAGTATTACAGGCCAAGCACCTCCACTCAATAGCATCATACAGATGCTGTTTCAACATGGTGCAGTTTTTGCTTCCTCTAGACTATGTAACCCTGAGAGATTGTACCTTCCAGTCTGAATAAAATATTTGTAACAGATGTGGTGGCTTCTTATTACAAAGTTCATTGATTTTGATTGTATTCCTCTGGATTTCACTGGTTGTAGAAGGCAGAATCATTATTTTAGCTTTCAAACAAGTTTGCTGTGTACTTAACGCATTGTATTTAAATTCAGTAGAATTTCACAGTAAGCCTGGCCATTGTCAAATGTATCTCACGTGATCAAACAGCAGTTTATGCATCTCGAACCTATTCTCTTCTTCACCGTGTGTTTCTTTGGAGTTAGAATGGCTATAATAGCTTCATCAAAAACAGTCTTCAGTCCTTTCTGTGTTAAAGCTGAACACTCCACATAGCAGTAGGCTCCTATCTGTCAAGAAAATAAGTTAATTCAATAGCAATATATTGCAGCTGTTCAGAACTGTGCACTTCAGCCATTTGTTTCTATAGTGAAAACCACAAAGTTTGGCTGCGATCTTGAAAATTTATCTGAATGTGCTTCCCCCTGTAGAAGAACAGAAGATTTGTATTCTGTCCAAAGATAGGGCATTTCTTTAATTTGGTTTGTCTTATAAAGGAAGCATATTAAATAAACTCTTCGGACAGGCAGTGAGGTCCTGCAGGCATTTTCAGTAACTAAACAGCAAAAAATAACATGACCAATTTGTGTTTCAAAAGGAAGTCACAATAGAAACGGTCACAGTATTCACACAGGATGTTAAAATGGTAGTACAGCATTCAGAAATAATTTCCTACAAATGGTTCCAGCACCTTGCTTCAGCATGGGGATTTGACAAGATGACCTCCAGGGTTCCTTTCTAACCTCAACCGTTCTATGATTTTAACTATCTCTTATTAATGCTTACATTATTTTTACCGAGTTTCTATTCAGAAAGTTAGAACAATTACTAATAAGGAAGTACTATTCCATAGGTCTGCTCTTTAGCTACCAGTTATGAGGTTTCCTATATCAGCTGGTAAAAGAAATGGGCAAAGCTGTAGAGGAAGAAAAAGTCAATTGAAATTGGACGTTTCTTGCATCTTTGCTATGTCATTTAATTTAGGAGTTTCTAGTTTACCTCTTTTGCTAATTTCTGTCCTTGTTCCACAGATAAAGGCTTCTCTTTCATATCATTCAATCTTGCCAGAGTTTTGGGGTCATCACGAAGATCAATCTAGCAAGAAAGATTGCAGATATGTTGGAATAGCTTTTTTCTAAACAAAAGTCAACCCTCTTTTTAAAGCATAAAAAAAAATGGAGTCATGTCGCTGTTCAGATCCTGAATCCTTTCTGATCCAAAAGCCCTGGAAATTTAAGCTGTGAACTGCTTTCAGTCCAGAAGTTCAAAACATCTACTCCCTAATTCAACTCTTCAATTTTCAAAAAAAATACTAGAATGTATATCTAGCAGTGGCAGCACAACTAACTCAAACATAATAGCAACAAGTGGATTACTTCATAACTGGAGTCCAATCCATTACCTACAAGATGCAGGAGGAAATTTTGTCTCACTTCTCTGCTTGTTCCTTAGCTTCCATAAGTAATAGATATGACTGATAGTTGCAGACCAATACATTTATTTCAACAAAGCGGAAGTTGTTTATTAGAGAACAACACAGATCTAAAGTTTTCTGCCAAATATTGGGGTAGTTCTGCAAATCCAGAAGAAGGTGCTGCTCAGATCTTGCTGGACTTGAACTTTGAGCCCAAAGAAAGGGCATAAACAGTCAGCTGATTTATATAAACTAAAACAGAAACAGATACCTGTGTTCCTACTAGTAAAAAAGGAACATTAGGTGCATATTCCTTCAACTCCGGTACCCATTCTTCCTTCACGTTTTGAAATGAAGCAGGGTTTACCACTGAGAAGCAGATAAGGAAGACATCGGTCATAGGATAAGATAAAGGTCTCAGACGATCATAGTCTTCCTGAGAAAGAAAAATTTCATTATCTTCAATGCTAAGTTGTTGCTTGTATTTAATACATTTTATATTCAGGAACTGTATTTGTATTTCAGGAAGTATGCTGAGGCAAACTTTCTCAATGTTTACAACTGTTCCTGGTCAGTTAGTGTGGAACAAAACCTTAATATAAGGGTAATTATATGTAAATATAAACAGAAATACAATCTCTGTGTTTGTACTGACAGAAACTTACCTCTGTAATAGAATATACAGAAGAGTATCTTTATAAAGTGTTTTGATTTAAAGGAAAAAAAATTCTGTTCCAAACATATTTCAGATCAAAAGTTAGTATTTGTTTGACCAAAGAGCACAAGATGTGACTGCTATAAAGTTATGCAAAGCTAGGCTAGATTAAGGTTATTTAATACACTTAACTTAAATGTTCCCTTTAGATCATATATAGAAGTGATATTTAAGTTCCTCCTTAAAGTTTTCTTTCAGCCAAAGAAATCTTACTGTCCTGTCACTAATGATCAGGACAGGGTAAGAATCAGAAGGGAGCTCCTTTGTCCAGACTCTGTTTTCTGCAAACAAGCTCAGCAAATAGCAGCAAGAAACAGAAATTAAAGATTAAGAACCCTCTCAGAGAAACATTAGTGTACTTTTGGGGACATGAGTCTGAAAAGATTACTGTCTGGGTCATTTAGAGCCATAGCATTTAAAGCCACCAGTCCTATTGCCAATGCATACAGGAACAGAGGTACTTAAAAACATTATCCCTACTGTAAAACAGACATAATCCCTCTAGCAAGAGGAAGAAAGAAGATTTTGCCATATATTTTAATTAAAGCCAGGGGAGAAGATGCCCCAGTTTATTTCTGCCAGAATTCTTTTGGTCTATAGCAGGAACCAGTGTCCTACTATTCCTGTCTTAGTTAGTTTTTTGTTTTTTAGCATAGATAACTAAGACTGTTCCCTATCATTGCCAAGACAAGTGAAAAATGATGTTTTGTACCTTCTCCTCCACAATAAAGACCAGTGCATGGTTAATCTGTAGGCTGTAGCAGCCTCCCTCTTCCGCACATAAGTTCCCCATCTTAATTAAATCTCACAGATATTGGAATAATTTGTTCATTAAATATAAACAGAAATGTAATTCAACTCCATGTTTGAAACAGACCGGAACATTCAATTTTTGTTTCCTTGGCAGCTGTCACATTACCAGATTATTAACCTATAGTTGCACCCTCAAAAAAGTGCTTCATGGATTAACTGTTAAGTTTTTAAGATTGCATCACTAGAATTTCAGAAATCGCGTGAGAACTTCCTCAGAACAGTTTCTGCTAGACCTCTCTGTTCATCTGAAAGTCAACAGCTGTGGGAAGAAGACTGCTATCTTCATCATGAAACAGAGACAAGATGTGGCAGCAAGCAAGCACTGGAGGAGATTCTGCACTAGTGAGGAGGCAACCATTGGCCAGGCTCTTCTGTGTTCATGTGCCATTTTGGTTACACAGACTTTAATGTCAACCCTATTTACTCTACAGTTTTTCAATAAGCCAGAGTAAGCCGAGCTGCAAACATGCGCACACAGTTTCACAACCTATAGCTGAAACTACTGTGAAATGTTTGACAGGCCATTTGAAGGTCTGCTCTTTCCCTGCTAGCATCAGGGTCCTATCTTGTTGCACAAGAAAGACATAGTAAGCAAGTCTTTTCAGTCACTGTGGCTATTCATCATAGAAGGCAGAAATAACTTTTTCAAAACAAACAAACAAAAGAATCACAACAGCAACATGATTTTGGTGTTGTTGTTTTTAAGTGTATGCTTTATGTTTCCCTTCTATTACTGAATGTAGTTAGAGCCTGCTCAGTTACCACACTGTTTTTTAGGGTGGAGATCAAAATCCTAAAAGAAGGTTCCCAACTGCAAATTAGTCTTGTCCCTGGAGTTCAGAAATCTACATACAAGAACACTCGTGTGGATCCATCAGTGACTCTCCAAATCAGCTCTACTAAATCATATGCAAGATATTCTTGAAAAGGTTTTGATTATTTTTTTTTTCTACAAAAATAAATCTAGTTTATAGTCATAATTTCTACCACTGAAGAGTTGCCTTTACTAAACTCTTTAAGTTTTATGAAAGTCTCACACCTGGGTTACAATAATTAAGAGTACTACATGCATTAAATATTGGAATGGAGAAAACTGTCACCAGAAATTACTGCGAGTCCACTGACACTAAAATATGTACGAGTTAATCCATTGCAAATTACAGTCAGACCTTTTCTTCATGGCAAATACTCATTTGCTCATCCTAAAGACAAGTTACATTTGTCTGATTTACTTCCAAACTGTTTAGTTTTTCTATTTTAAATCCCATGGGATACAAATCTTTGTATGTTCAGCCACATTTTGGTGTGGCATCTTTCTTCCTCAGCATCTATCAGCAGTCATCCAGGAGTGAGCAATTTCACTGATTTCACTGCTCTTTAAGGAGTGTGCAGTGCTGATCTTCTTCCCTCGGCCTCCATCTATTTATATGCCTTTTGATTTATACTCTGCTCCATCTGGGCAAGCTGTGGGTCCATCCCATTTAAGATATTAAACAAGTACAGTGTGATTAGATACTTGATGTACCACAGCCAAAGATGCACGTGGTATTCACTATAGAGATTTCACTGTATTGATGCTGATGTAAATTGACAAAAAAATTGGCTATACCCACCAATCCTATTGCTTGAAACAAGTCAGTGCAGCCAGGCTGTCCTTTAAATCTCACCTGTGCTATGAAAATTATGTTCATATTGATACCAATAATGGCCCACCACCACTTGTTTTAGTAAGACACATAGTTAGATTTGTCCTGGGTCCTCCTCAGAGAGAGCCTGGCTTAAACATTATGTGCATTGTGTAAGCTGCTGGTGTATAAAGGCTCCTTCTGCTCCCCAACAACCCCCTCTGAAATAATAAAAACAAATTTGAAAACTTTCTCTGATGTATCAGGTCTAAATAACTGCACTCAGTTAAAGAATCTGAAATACCATATGAATTCAGACTATTATTTAGAATATCAGAGAAGCCTGGAAAAAAATCTGATTGCTTCAATTACAGTTTATTTCCTGAATCTAGTGTAAGGGAAATAAATGTGATTTATTCTAAAATTAAATGCAATGGCAAAATCTAATTATACAAGTCAGTCAACATAAATTCCAATTTGAGTGCATGTACACACCATGCTGTACAGCAATTAAACTTCCAGTCTAAATGGGGGAGGCAGTGTTTGTATGTTTAGACAGTACAATATTTGCAGAATTTAAGTGGAATATTTATGAGTATAAATAAGATGGATAAGAAAGCCACTAAGAATTAGAATATACAGTAAAGTCTTAACTCTAGACATACAGTCTAGTCCACTCCATACTCTGGACTTCAAAATTTTTCACTGTTTCCCAAAAGAGATACATATAAGCAAGAAAAAACATGCTGAAAATGTAGGAACTGTAATAAGTTGGATATAAATGTGTTGGCTAAATTAACACGGTGCGGTGCTGTGATCTTCTATGGACACCACCTAGAAGATACAGATCTTTTACCTAGCATCTCTGCAGTAAGCAAGGACAGCTGCCAATGAAGAAGAGACATAGGAACAAAGATGAGATGGAAGAACTAGTGATTCATCTTGGCTTCTCAACTACAAACTGGGAAGGACTGTTTTTTGTTTTGCTTCTGGGAGGAGTTGTTTTTAAGAAGGGAGAAAGGAAATTCATACTTATAAAATTTTCATTTCCTGCTAGTTTTGGTATTTTACAGACAAATCTAGCATTATCTGTCTCCGTAAAATCTTTCCTTTAGGTCTCTTTTTCCATCTGCTATAGTACCTAACAACCTCCCCCTCTCAGGTTTTCTGCTGCCTTGGCTGGCATACTGAATCATTGATTTTCACTGTATTTTGGATGACTAGGTGGATACGTTTTAATCTACAGTCCAAAACTTGGCTACTCCTTTTCCTCACCTTTAGATACTTAAAAACAGAGGTCTCAAAGAACTCCTTGCATGAAGAATGGTCTTGATATTCTGCAACAGTATATTGTTCTTCATTTCAGGGTTTTGCTCAGACTAAAAGAACCCTGTGCTGTATTTCAAGTTGCCTAATTCCATGGATATCAGCTGGAAGACATAGTTAAAGACACACAAACTGCATTCCTAACTCTGCTGCTGACATAATTTGTTGCCCTGAGCAAGTTATTATCCTCTCTCTGCTTGCATCTTCCCATCTGTTAGGGTGCCCCATAGGGGTTTGCTAGCTTAATAATGCATTAGTCTTTGCAAAGCTTTCCAAAAGCTTTTGGTGTACACAGCTTACAGTGCAATAGGTTATTTAAAAAAACAAAACAACAACAAAAAAAAAACAGCTAAGACAAACTGCATACTCAATTTCTAGACAACCTTCTTGACCCACTGAAGCATAATTTCCTTTTATTTATTAGAAAATTGAAGTCAGAGGAGTGGACATAGCTGAGATCCCAGAGTATCCTTTGTAGCTTCCCTGTTTTATGGTATCAATGGGCAAGTAAGAGCAGTGGGGACAGAGGTCCTTACCCTCCTCACCACAATGTGAGGCCACTGTCTTCCCTCTCATAGAATTAGGTTCTCTGTTCCATTTGGAGACATAAAGGATAATTAGGGGAGCCTGCTTTGCAGCAAGTATCTCCACACACCTTGACCAAAATGTCTAGAGAAATTCACACCTCTAAGATCTGCCGTTACAGGTACTGAAGAAGACATGAACCTAGATCTGTTTGTTTTCCTTGCAGATATCTCCATACTTATAAGCAAAAAGATAAGCCTATTTTATATCCTGAGGAGATGTGAAGTGGATAGAGGGGAACAAAATATGGCCCACACCACGGTGGAATTAAAACTGGAACTTGACAACTCTAGGTTTGTGCTCTCTGCATTGGCAACCATCTGTTGCTTTCACAGCTTACAACAGCAATCATAAGAGGAGGTTCTCACTCCCAACCATCTGTTTTTAGACGAGAAGCCAAAAATAGATCTCAGGCGGAGTTGCTAGAGGAATCCAGCTTTCATGTAGTGCAGGGTAATGACAGCTGCTGCTCACAGGCTCTCAGTGAGGCACACACAGATCACTGGAGGTGGTAAGTCAATCTCAGCTGTATATCCAAGTTGTAACCTATTATGTAGTAGGACAGACGAAAGTTTTCTTTCCGTAGAAATCACCATACTTCAAGTTTACCATTTTGGGGGCACATTTAATTGCTATCCTTCCACACTGCATCGTTTATAGTTTTCCTCTCTGAAATTCCCATTTCAGAAGGCCCCCCGCAATATTTTGAAAAATATAACGACCATAATAACTGCTGCAACAAGTACACACTTCAGGGACTCATTGTTACAGCAGTGGGCAAATCCTGCTGTCTCCCCCAGACTATTCTGAGTTAAAAGTCAATCTGCAGCTTTGCCATATGCACCAGGCAGAGCCTCAGCAAACAACAGCCTCCCCAGAAGCACACCAGGAAGCAGATTTGTGCTGAGGGGCTGAATCACGCTGTGGTTTCTGATTCTGCTAGAAGCCTGGGTGGGGGAGGAGAGAGTGAAGAGTGCTGTACTGCCCCATACAAAGCACTTTTCTGGCTTAAAAACCTTAGCTGTTTCAGTGTGGGCTGCATGTACTCTGTAATACTTTGCAGGGGTGCAGGGTGAAGTGCCCCCGGCACGGTGCCCACGATGCAGCAGCATCACAAAGCAACTGCCTGCCCAGCTCTGTGATCAAAGCCTGTCACGCGCATCGCTGTGTTCGATTTCTCTGGTGCCTACATCTGTAGCCCCTGGCTTCCAAACTTGCACAACAAAGTCAGCTGATTGTTCCCTGGCTGCAGGGAAAAAGTACACGACAGCCCCTCTATCTCTTTGCTGGCTGCTGGGGTTCCAAGTGAGCGCTGATGAAGGAGACGGAGTTGTCCTGCTGTGGCTTCTAACACAGGTTTCCCAGAGAATGCAGAAAGTGGCTGATTTGGGTCCAGCATCTATTTTTTATTTATAGCAAAGGCTGCAAGAATACAGGCTAAGTGCTCTCCCATTGTATTCTAAAAATGAAGTAAGCTAATCTAAATCCATCTCTGAATTCCTGTGAGGAGGACTGTTCAAAGGAGGTATGAATTATACATTGAAAAAGACTAGGGTTTGTGAATCATGATTTTTCTTCTGACAGAACTTCCCTTCTGGCATATCTGAGAACTGTGCTGCTGCTTACACGTCTGAAAAGCTTTTCTGCATATAGAGCAATAAGCAGCTAAAAGATGAAGACTATGAAGATGGATTTTAGAGCATAAAGACAGGACAGAATATGCCCTTTATTATACATAAAATTGCTTTTAAGCAATCAAAATTGATCCCAGTCTTAAAGTGCGATTAAATACTGTCCAAATCTTACATCTTGGCATGAGGTGGTGCTCACTATTTCTCTAGACAGTCTCAACAGAGCACTTCTCTCCATTACCACAGTAACTTCAACTTCCTAATTTCTCTTCGGTTTTCTAAAAGAAGTCATCCCCAGATTTTCTCTCTAAGACGTATTATTTAGCATCTTTCACAATGAAACATGGATTCCACTGACTGCATGCACATTTCCACTTGAACACACTTTTACCAGTTGGTCACCCCTTATGGATCTCCAAGAAAGCAGTGCAGTGACTGCCTGGAAAGCCCTTTCACTCATTATCCATGGGAAATCACCGGGCTGTGGTGAGCTGCTGTGCTGGTTTTCTCCTCACTTTCAGTGACCTTACAAACAGTGCTCTTCCCTCCCCAGATTTTCACTTTTTCCACAAAAGGAAGTCATCCCATTTTGGTGATTGCAGCCATGAACAATTCACCGCAATTCACTCCAACACTACATCCCAACTGCAAATCAGACCAACCAGGGCAATAAAGCAGCAAGCCCTACAGATGATCTTTCAGCATTCAAGGCTACATCTAATTTAGAGTGCAAGCCGCTTGAGGCACATTCAGTCTGTGTTTTATTCACCTAATGCAATCAGCTCACCTGGGATGCTGTCAGATGTTCCTTTGCTCTGAAGAATCATTCTGCAACCTGCATCTTGATACACACACCAGCAAGTGCCAACCATCGCAAAGAATTACTGAGCACATGCCACCAAATGGATGCAGCAGTGATTAAAAAAGATGAGGATGGCAGCACCTAATGCTTGGAGGTTAAAATAAGAACTGAAGCTCTGTCCCAAAGCATCCATTTCTGTAATACTGTTTTGTATAATTCATAGTAAAACCGCAGGATTTGGAATCAGTGTGTTTTATATTATCTCTTAAAGCCCAGGCTCCCATAGACTGCTGATTACATAAATGAAAAAGCTCATCCTTCTCACTTTTAAATGAAAGGTAAATTTCTACTCATCCATAAATGCAGAGAAAACTTGAACTCACAAAACCCAAAGGCTTCAAGGAAAACCACTTCCAGCAAAGGGCAAAGGAAGTCTCAAGCCATTTTCATTTCCTATGTTTTCAGGTGCTCTGTACCAGCGTGTGAAGATAGGATTGGCTGACTCAGCATTTTGAATACAACTATTTTTTATGTCCCTTTAGTCTATGTGTTCTCAACAAAGGAACCAGAACAAAGCACATTGAAATCAGCAGTGAGTGCCTGCTGACACGAAGCTGTGGCTCAGACCCTAACTTACACTGTATGTCCCTTTGCACCAAGGATTTTGACTAGACAAAGGAGGTCTTTGCTGTGGAAGCTGTTCTCTGCTCTAAATTATACTTAAATTGTTTGAAGGCGTAGTTTAGAGGCTGACTCAGGAGTCAGACTACAAGAGAAAAACAGGGCATTTCTGAGATTCTTCGTATTTGCCAAAATACGAAAAACTCTTTGCAAATGAAATGTTTCAATCAAGAAATGTGATTGCAGAACTTCCAAAAAATTCCCATGGTCTTGCATAGCAAAGCCTGTTGTCAGAAAGCCCCACCAGCTCAGGCCGCTCACCCAGCTGTCCCCTTCCATCACTCCTGCTGCCTACAGGACAGTTGCAGATTATATGACAATTTGCTGAGCGCAGGTGCACACCGCCTTAAAGCGAAGTCAGGAAGCAAGAGGATAGGCCATAATACTATGCTAGAACAGCAATAATTATTTCACTCGGAGTTTCTTTTGTAAGTTGTGGTGTTTGGATAGCATGGAAACATGCCACTGTACCTCAAAGAAAGCAAGCAAAACTCAGAGAGAACCTCCTCACAAACTAAAGCGTATCTATGACGCCTAACCCAGAAGAAGAGATGTTTTTACTTGACAACACAATCCGTGTTTAGCAATAGTTTCTCTATGCCAGTAGACTTCATAAAAACATGCTTTAAACATACCATAAACTGATGGTTTGGAGAACCTCTCATGCTTGGTTTGCTTTGGGTTCCTTACTTTGGCCTGCCATTAACTCACTGTTCATACGACCATGACATTACAGGTCTTCATTCTCAAAGATAACCTTTAATTTAATTTTAAGTTCAGTCCCAATTTTCAGACATGCAGCAGGCCTTTGGACATTCTGAAAATTAAACATTGGGTTTGCCACAGCAGATGCTTTTGGAAACTCTGAGCAACATTGTTCATCCTGTGACTCTTCGCCTGCTGATAACAGTACTTCCCTGTCTTTCTAGGGAAGACGTGAGGCTTGCAAAGTGTGACTCACGGTTAACAATGAGGTGTTTGGATGTAAAGTTTGCACTGGAATTATTATTATTGGAAGACCATTTGGCCATTCTAAAGATAACAGTCTATTACCTTTCAAAGGAAAAATCTGTCATCGCTGAAGTATCTGCTGCTGACCTCCCATCACAGCAACCATCAGTCCACACATACTACCTCCTTAAAATCTTAAACTTCGGAGAAAGGATCTGGGCATATTTCTATTTTAAATTACCTACACACATCCAGTTGTTGCTGCAGAGCCGTTAAACCTGCATGGCTCTCTGCATCCTCACACACAGTGGCTTTAGCTGAGCTATTCATAGGGCTGCAGCCAGCCCGGCTGCAGTGAGCTCACAGCCTGCCGGCAGCAGCTGCAGCCTGCCTGTGACAGCGCAAAGGGAGCGAGGGAAAATGCACGTGGGAGGAGGGAGGTGTGGGGACAGAATGGGGATGGCTCACATTTAATTTTTAGATTTGCCAACATCACGTCGGAGTTTTCAGCATTTGTAACTCAGCAACGAAGGCTCACAGGGTTTGCTTTGTGGAAGCGTGCTTGCGTGCTCTGGGTTTGCATTTGGCACTCTGGCTGTGTGGAATGTGCAGATCAGAAGGAATAATGCAGTCTAAGGAAGGAAATTCCTATTCCACAACAGACTACCCCAACAGTCAGCAGCTGCCTCTCCTCTCAGGATGCTGAAGCAGTACCTGTGAAACTGAGGCTACCTTCCAGAGCCAAGGCAAACAGTCGGCCAGGATTACACAGATGACTGCTATTTCTTGTTTTATTTATAGCAGCCACTGCAAATTGTGTGTCCATCCACTTTAAAAGCCCTGCCTCCATTCCTCTCTTTCCCACAGGCTCATTCACAGTTAGAATTATTTGTTTTTACATCTGGCCTTCAGGGAGGCACTGATCTTGCTAGTATTTGAGTTTCTTTACACACTCCAGCTTGACCAATTGTAACATAAAATTGCTTTTGACTTCAGTTTTCACTCAGTTACAACACCAAAAAATATATATCACTGTGTCTGAATTAAGGTGGCTGCAGCTGCAACAAGAGCAGCCATCAGAGTATGCAAGTTGAAAGAAGCCAGGCAGAGGCTGTTCTCATACTGTGCTTTGCATTTTTGCAGCTTCTGTTTTGGTCACAGCTGAGAAGCCACTGAGAATTTCACTCTGGCCTGCTCCTGCAACCGTCCTGCCCGCCCTCTGGTTCCTGACAGCCCTTCACAGCAGAGCACACAAGAAAAGCAAGGCTTCCATGTGTTCATGCTCAGGACATGCTGGATGAAACAGACCACATTGTGAATGGAAATCCCACATCAAAGGAGAAGGAAAGGAGAATTAACCTTGGCTGCCACGTTAAGTAGCAGCCTTCAGTGTGGAGCACAACCTCCAAGAGGTAAATGCTGCATATCCTCCCACTTCCTCTCATCATTTGGGATGTGGCAAAGGGGCACACAGCCCACCTCTCTGTTAATACTCTCAGAAATTTCGCTGAAAGTTTAAATATTGTGAGAGTTAGCAGTATTACGAAAGACCAAAACGATCATCACTGTTCCTAGTTCCAAAGCACTCTGCCAGGGTGAAGTCAGTAGGCTCCTACTGGAGCCCCAGTTTCCTTCCTAGGCTTGTTTCGCCACATACCCCTGTGCCATAAAGAACATTACTGACATGCAGTTACTCTCAGAGCAAGAGAAACAACTGTAAAGCCAAAGGCACCCAAGCATCACCATCAGGTGCACTTCATGTTCATAAGCTTTGCCACGTTTCTGCTCCCAGCTCTGGGCTATGCAAGTAGGTTCCACCATTCTCATCTGAGGGACAAGGAGGAGTAAGGGGACAAAGAAACTCAGACAAAGTGGAGGGCTGTGCAGGGCAGTGGGGCCCAAAGGAGCTGCAGCTCCACCTCTGAGAGGAATTGCCTGTGGAATGCAGTCCCCAAGGTGGCATGACCACACTGGGACCAGCAGTCAGCCTTTGCAGCTGCAAAACCTAGTGGGCTCCGGGAACCTCCCCTGCCAGCTGCTGTACTGGCTATTTTCTGCTGAACTGGGGCATTTTCAGATGAAGTCTGCCTGGACAGGCACATGGAGGGGAAAGTTTGTCTGTGTACAGACTGCAACTTGTGAACTGTGTCATTTTTCCCTGCTATATATAACCTGAAAAAAATGGGACCTTAATAGATTTATCTCAACCTACTTTAAACTCAAAAAGATGCAAGGCATTATGTGATTGGTGCAGTTACTGTGTGCAATTCTGCCTACGTTGTGAAGCAGCTCACTAGAAAAGCAAACTAGATGTCATGAACTCAGCTCACAGCCCCCCACCAAACAGAAGTCTGTCACACATTGCTAAATACATAACCATACAAGCTAACAACACCCACAGATTGGTAAGTCAGTACTTCAGGCTGATGGGCCTGCTGCACACTGGCTAGAAATTAAAAGGTTTTGGCTCCTTGCTCTGCCATGGACTTCTTGCGGGGATATGGAGCAGGTCACAGCCCAAACCTCTCCACTCTCACCCCTCTTCCCCCAGAAGATGACATCTGGACTCTGGCCACGGCTGGGGCTGTATGCACTCAGAAGGCTGCGAGTAGCTCAGATGCCACAATAATCACATGCTGCCAAGCTTTGATAAAATGATACTATCAGGCTACTGTTTCGCAGTAAAACTATTTGGGGGTGACAGGATTAGAAATAACAACACTGATGTATGCTGGCACAGAAATCCCAACTTCAAGCTGCAACGAATCCAAGCTGAACAGAAGTCTGTACAACCAGCAGGCACATACCAGATGCAGCATGCTTCTTCCTCAACACAGAAAAGACACTAGCAACTCCCGTCTTTTCTGCTCTTTAACACATACAATTGTTAAACTTCATAGAAAGCTTTCTTTTACCCCATGGCCCTCTCAGAATGGCTCATCAGCAAACTCTGATGAAGGAACAAAAAGAAAAAAATTGTCAGACTGGAGGCTCTATACAGGTTCCTGTAAGAACCTCCACAGTTGTTCTGGGTGCTGGAACGAGGCTTCCACGGGCAGCCCCAGACATCCACTGCTCCCCTCCAATAACCTGAACTGGGGTGAGGAAAATGGTAAAGATTTTATGATTGCTGCAGGTCTGAGTTTTGCCAAGAGCAGATCTATCTGTGACAGCAGTCTCACTGAAACAACCTACAGTCTAGACATACAGTACCGTTGCTTGCTGTTTGCTGCAAATTGACCAGCTTACTACTAGTGTTAGAGGAAGCCAAAGGTTTCTCCGTGCAGCTACCCAGATGGACACCACAAAGCCACTTGAGGTAAGGCTGCACAGAGCTTACAACACACGCTCCCATTAATAGCAGCAGGCCAGCATGGGCTGTTTGAGACAGCATCCACAAATAAGCTCTGCATACAAGTGCAAGGTGCTTTTTCTTTTTTGTATTTTCCAGTGCTCATTATAGAAACTGGATGCATGTTAGTAGATGCTTTATTTGCCTCAGCACTAGACCCTCATACTGTTGCACACCTGAGCAGTATTTTAAAGTCCGCTGGGTTGTGAAGCGTTTACTACTAAAAAGCAAAGCTATGGTGGAAATAGCAAGGGAACTCAGTTTGCATCACTGGGACCGGTTTGTGTTTGTATCAGCGAGATCTCAATGATGAAGTCAGTCTGTTGGTAGGAACCTCACCCTCCAGCTACTGGCTTTCTGGAAGCAAAGCTGTTCCCTGGAATTTTCCCTGAATGGATTCTGTTGCTGCTTTCGGGCCTTAAATACTCAAGACTGGCTGAGTACTGCTTCCCTTACAGCTACATGCACACCTAGAGAGGCACGCTAATTTGAACATTCGTTAAGAGCAGGAATTACTGAGTTACAAAGTATGGCTTCACTGTGTGCCAGTGCAGAGAGATTATCTTCCTCGTTGTTCCTTACCACAGGGAAGCACGTCTGAAGTCATGTGAGACCCGAACACATGCTCATGCTGCAAGAAGTTTTAGTATAGGGAATATACAACTTTTGCAAAAGACCACACAGCTTTTCTGTAAAGGCTTCACACCTTCTTAGGACTTCCTGCCCCCCACAGCCAGGCCCTTTACATGCTGTTTTGGTTCAGATATGCCACCTCCAAAGTACTTTAACTCATAAGACCGTGCTCAGCCAGCAGCTGCTGGCTGCAAGTTGGGATAACTGAGCAGGGATGTCGATAATGGAGCCCTGTGCTGTTCACTACAGTAGAGATCCCTCTGAATATCCAGCATTAAAACTGCCTCAGTCACATGCTGACATAGCGTCTTCCACTGTGGGCTGTAATAACCTTCTCAAGAGAATCACTTGGACTGTCTAGTATAGCTTAAAAGAAAAAAAGAAAAAGAAGAAGAAGAAGAAAGGAAAGAAAAAAAGGCAGCAAAGCCAAAAACGCAAAGCTGAACAACTCCATGAGCCGCAATTGCGGACACGGGTCCCGTAGCAGCCCACCGCCGGCCGTGCCGTGCGTCCCCACTGCCGAGCCGGCTCCCCGCCGCCCAGCCGGCAGCCCCGCTCGCTCCGTCCCCGCTGCGGCAGCGGGCGATGCGAGGAGCCCCGCTGAGTAATGCCGCCGGGGCGCGCGGCCGCCAGAGCAACTTCGGCGCCGGACAGCGCCGGCTGCCAGGCGGCCGGGGTCTGGGGTCGCTCACTCACCTGCCCGGCGGTGTCGTAGAGCCCCAGCAGGTACTGCTTGCCCTCCACGGTGACGCTGACTGCGGGGAGGGAGAAACAAACCGGGTGAGGCCGCGGCGGGGCGAGCCCCGGTGGGGCAAGGTCGGGCGGGGGGGGAGCGGAGCGGAGCCGAGCCGAACGAGCCGCTCCGTGCCGCCGCCCCCCGCCCCGCTCACCTGCGTAGTGGTCGAAGACGGTGGGCACGTACTCCTCGGGGAAGGCGTCGTTGGCGTAGCTCATCAGCAGGCACGTCTTGCCCACGGCGCCGTCCCCCACCACCACGCACTTCAGCATGACCGCGGCGCTGCCATGGGCCATGGCCGGAGCCCGCCCTCATGGCCCCGCGGGCGCGCCCCGCCGCGCCGGGCCCCCCGGCATCGCTCCGCCGCCGCCGCTCAACGGGCGCCCCCGCCGGCCCCCGCCGGGCGCGGCCCCCCCGCCATCCGCCGCCGCGCTGGGCCCGGCGGGAGCCGCCTTCCCCCGGCCGCGGCCGCGCAGGGGAAGTGCCCGCGGGAGGCGGGGAGGCGGCCCGCGCGTGGGCGAGGCGGCGGGCGGCCCGCGGGGCCGGGGAGCGGCCGCCCTGCCTCCCGCTCGCAGCCACCGGCGGCACCCGGCAGCGCCGCTCGGCTGAGCCGGCCGGGCCCCCCTCGCCGCCGGGAGCGGCCCCGGCCGGGCTACGGAGCGGCGGCGATCGGCGGGGTGCGAGGCGGTCGTCTGAGCGCCGTGAATTTCGGGTGTTGGGGAACCTGAACGTGTGCGTTGGAGCGGGTTCGAGCACGCACCTGAAAGGCTGAGGAGCGGGGGGCAGGTCTAACGACGGGGTACCGCGCGGAAAGGAATGAAGTCACGCTTCCACGCGTGGTCGCGGCAAGCAGCGCCACGTCTAGCGGCACCCGGGTGTCATTCCAGCAATCCGCCTTCAGCTGTAGTGCTATGACATGCGCCTGGAGTCAAAGGGAGAACAATCGCCTTGTCTGGTCTGTGATTTTTTGGAGACTCGCGATTAAGCCCCATCTGACCACGACAGAAGGCGACACAAAGACTCTCTGTCGTGATCTGATGAACTTGAGGGTGAAAATGAATGCAAATCCTACGGTGCACAAGGCTTATCCGAATATCCAATAGGATGTGTTTTTGGATCAGGACAAAGTCTAATAGTTACTACTTGGCAAGTCTTTCCTGCAGTTAGTGTAACTCGTGTGCCTTGAGTGCCCTGAGAGGAAAAGCACAGGGTCGCAGGACAACAGGGGTTGGATGGAACCCCTGAGATCACTGAGTTCAACCCCACTGCTAAGGCAGCTCCCTATAGCAGGCTACCAAGGTGGGTGCCCAGGCAGCTCTTGAATACCTCCAGAGAAGGAGACTCCACCACCTCTCAACAGCCTGTTCCAGTGCTCAGTCACCCTTGCAGTGAAGATCTTCCTCATGTTCCTATGGAACTTCCTATGTTTTGCGTTGTGCCCCTTGGCCTGTCATGGCACCATTGAAAAGAGCCTGGCCCCATCCACAACAACTCCCACACTTTGAGTATATTTATAAGCATTGATAAGATCCTTTCTCAACCTTCTCCAGGCGGAACAGCCCCAGGGCTCTCAGCCTTTCCTCATAAGGGAGATGCACCAGGTATCTTCATCATCTTTGTGGCTCTCCACTGAACTCTCTAGAAGTTCCCCATCTTGAACTGAAAAGCCCAGAACTGGACACAGTACTCCAGATTTGACCTCACCAGGGCAGAGTAGAGGGAAACAATTACCTCCCTCTATCTGCTGGCCACACTCTTTTTAATGCACCCTGATCTCCAAATGCACTCAGCATCAACCCAACCTCTTGAGCAGACAGAAAATGGTGGTTTGTCCTCAGCCTTCCAGAGCATGTCAGCTGTACATGGAAGCCACTGTCTGGAGAACCCAGCGGGCAGCCAGCACAGAGCTTGGGGCACAGGTGCAGTGGCCTCCTAGAGAGCAGCTCTGCTCAGCAGGCAGGTGTGTCCTGCACCCATCTCAACGAGGAACAGGCCCAGAAGAACTGCTTCATAGCAATCTGATGCATGCTACCCCTCAGTACCTGTTAAAGGTTCTCAAGGTTCCCACAAGGGAGCTGACAGCATGCACACACACAGTGGCCTAGGTGACACCATTTCCTTTTCGCTATCCTTGCTGAGGTACAGGCTCAGGAGCCAGCTGCCAATACACAGGCAATGGGAAGTGTGCTTCCTCCCTTCTGGCACTTGCATAATTGCCAGCATTGCTTCACAAATCCCGTAATCATCATTTTGCACTTGCACAGTCTCAGCCAAATTAGTCTCCTCCATTCCTCCATCTCTTGCAGACAATGGGCAGCCAATCAGCTTGCACTAAATATTTAGAGCAAATGAAGACTCAGAGCTGGTAAACTAAAATGCTTGCTTGGATCTGTTCACCACATGGCATGGCTACAGGGAGTAGGAGTGGGACCTCATAGAACTTCCTAGGAGCCCCACGGCCAACATGTTTCTAGGAAACCACCCATAATGGGCTAGGACCGCAATGCTCAGGCTATGTCACCCACTGAACATTCTGGGAGGAAGAAACACAGCGAGGCTACCTTTTCAAGTAGGGTCTATTCCAAGTAATCAGGTCAGTAGTGGGGGAAAATGTGCAGAGAAGATCTGATAAACTATGAGAAGTAATCGGTGAGTTTCAGTAACATTGGTGGTACATACAATCAGTCTCAGGACTCAGTTCATAGTCATGCAAGATTGGAGCCATTTTATAATACTTACAGACTCGGAACAAAGTCTTGGTGAAAGTCAGTAAAAAGGGCAGTGCCATCTGAATGCCCTGTTTGCAGCATATTGTCTTTCAGACCACTCAGTTTCTCATTTTCAAACAGAGCTCCCCCTCACTGCTGTAAGCAGCAGAAGGTAATACCAGAACAGATGTAATACAAGCTGGTATTTCAGTCTGAATGATTCATTGTCATCATCAGTGGTGAGAACACTACTTCTGCAGTTTATGAATCAGATCATTATATATTGCTTGTCTTTCCAAGAGTAGGTAATGCAGAGAATGTTTGTGTATATATACATAGAGCTAATACAGAGGAAGCAAATTACGTGTATCTGATGTGCCAAAAATGGATAGGGAATTCAATAGCTGCAGATACAATTCTTTGTGAATGTCAGCATCTACTTCATTTCAAACATTCTTTTTCATCATTTACGAGAGCAGAGATACTCATTTTCTCTCAGTTTAAAGTGTCCTAACTGCATTCTTGCTTGCTCCATAATGCTTTTCATAAATACAGTGATGGTCTCCACGCAAAAGGCACACAGTCTGTAAAATTAGAATAAAGCAGGATAACACATTTTAGATCATCAGCTGTAATTATCCAGTTGTCTCAGCACGCTTACCACTTACAGTACCCATGGCAGTCACTTTTCTGAAATAGGGCTGACTATCACAAACAAACTGACAAAAAAATATATACTCCACTGACTCCCTCCAAAAAAACAAAAAATCCCCACCCAAATTAGTATGCTTCATTATAGGGAAACCTCATGCACAGGTCTCTTTAGTTATCCAATTTTATCCTATTATGCTGTTGCATCTAGTGATAGCATAGTTTGAGGATATCATGTAACATAACAGAAAAGATGATATCATTAAATATTTAAATCATTTCTCCCCTCTTTTTTTTTTTTCTTATATGTTTTTTTAAGGAATTTTTAAATTTTCAGGTTGCCTTCTAATTATTGCCCAAACCATTCTGCTGCAAATCACAGGAGGTCCCTAAAAAACAGGGAGAAAGACACTGCAAAAATCTAGTGCATAGATTGATACAGTTGATTTCCCTTCAGTTTGGGAATTGTTAGTGGTGCTTTTCTCTCACTTTCTTCCATGAAAAGATATTTATGAGATGCTCTGCTCCACAGATTTATTTGTAACTTCCAACTGTGACATTTAAATGACTCTGAAATGCACTGTCCGACTAGCAGAAGCAGTGAAGATAATAGGTCTCCTGTCAAGGGGAGTGCCTGGCTCTTGACAAAAATCAAGGACAACTCCACAGCAACACTAACGAATCAGTTCCTTAGTAGAGAGAGAAAAGTGGCTGTAAGGGGAATATTACATCACTCTAGGTAACTTTCCTAGGCAAGAGTTTTAGACAACATGGATGCTTTGGACACAGTGTGAAAAGCAATGAACAAGAGGTTGAGGTGCCTCTTCAGACTCTCCTTTCATCCTCTGAAAGGAAGAACTTCACTGGCTTCCAGTGACATTTGTGATACCTTTTTAAGTGCCTCCTATACCATTCCCGGTGTCACAGAGGTCACTTGTCTCTCTGCACTCCTACCTCAACAGCATGTGGGGGCCACGTTTCACTGAGCTCTGCAACTGTGATACTGCCAAGACTTAGGCAGAGCAGTGAGTGCTTTATCTTACCTGACGCGTCCAACCGTGTCTCCTCTTCCTCTCAGTGCATCCCTAGCACATGAGCTGGGGCAGCCCCTCAGATTCCATATTATTGCCACCCAATCTCATTTCCATGTGAGCACTCCTTGTGTTACATTTGCATTCAGTCAGTTGTTAGAATGGTTTTCATTGCCTTAGGTATCTCAAAATACCTGGTTACGACTGTTTAGGGTTGAGTTCTTTTGGTAGAATATTGAGGGAAGGAGCCTGAACAGAATAAATCACTACAGAGTTACTTAGAGCTGAGCTAAGTGTCTAAAGGAAGCAATTCTCTTCCTCACACCAACTTGGTGACAATTGCAGTTCACCAAACATTTTGTTGGAAATAAAATCTGTCTAACAGTGGAGATTCTTATACAGCTACAGTTACCAGCATTGCCAGGCACAGAAGAGAGGATTAAGCAAGAAAGGCCTTCCTCTAAGTATTTAACATCTTCTTTTCAGGCTACCTATATGACTTCATACATCACTATAGTACCAGAACAACCCTTTCATCATTGCAAAGAGATGTACATGTCTGTCTCATTCCGTTACTTGAGTCTGTGTAGTCCAGCATGGCTCCTACATACCACGGTGTACCAAACAGGAGAGTGAATGGATATTCTTGTTCCCTGAGTGGGACAGGATTTACAAAGGGAATACTGACTCCTTCATGACACCATGTATTTTGAAATTAAAATAATCCCCTTAAATTCTAGTGCTGGAAAGTTAAAAATGAGCGACTTTTATACACTAGAGATAACCATCCAGTTCTATTGGCCTTACTGGAAACTGAGGGAATCATATAATGGATCCACAGGATAACATTCCCTGCTGTGTACTTCACTATACAATAGATTTCAGAGGGCACCAGGATCACTGCTGCACCGTGTCTGCTGCTCACACCTGTGATTTTCACAGATGTGGCTCTTGGAAGGTAAAATG